TCATCCATTAGCTTCTACAATTTAATAGCAGCAGATAAAGAGCAAAAACATTATGATCAACATAATGAGCAAAAACATCCATTCTAAGAAGTAGCTAAAGAAACAGAACAAGAGAAGATATTCACAAAATAAGAGGGTAAAAGTATTAATTCCAAAATATTCAAGAAAAAGCAGACATACCATCCCAGTACTGCAGCTAGTTAAGTCATCCATTTCAATGAAATCATTCATTGGCTTCTACAATTTAATAGCAGTAGATAAAGAGAAAAAACATTATGATCAACATAATGAGCAAAAACATCTATTCTAAGAAGTAGGTAAAGAAAGAGAACATGAGAAGATATTCACAACATAAGAGGGTAAAAGTATTAATTCCAAAATATTCAACAAAAGTAGACATACCATCTCAGTACTGAAGCTAGTTGAGTCATCCATTTCAATGCAATCATCCATTGACATCTACAATTTAATAGAACCAGATGACGAGCAAAAACGTTATAATCAACATAATGAGCAAAAACATTATGATAGTGAGAGAGTTAACACATTAGGATCAACATAATGAGGAAAAACATCCATTCTAAGAAGTAGCTAAAGAAAGGAGAACATGAAAAGATATTCACAAAAGGATTTTTCTAACATGTGCTTTTAAGACACGGGTTAAGGTTGTAAGAAATACACATTTTCATTATAAATTTGTATTGAAACTGTAAAAAGCTCACTTTTAATTTATCAATTGTCCAATTAAATTCATTCACTCAGCATCAACACTGCAATTAATGTTAGCTTTTACATTTTTCTATATACATTAACGACAAAAAAATGTCATTAGGACATATGCTAGAAAAACTCTTCACAAAATAAGAGGGTAAAAGTATTAATTCCAAAAATTAATACGGACATACCATCTCCGCACTAAACCTAGTGAAGTGATCCATTTCCCTATCCTGTTCTGATAGTCCCGAGCTAGGACATCCTCGATTCCGTTTTTTGGAAGAAACAGATGGTCCTGCTTTTTCCATAGTCTTCACCTCTTGATGAACACTAATCCCTCCAGCTCCCTTTTGTTTAGGGAGTTTCCCCCTGGAAATGATCTGTTTTTTGGTGTCAAAACGGGCTCCTTTGCCTCCTGGAGGCTGCTGAAAATTCTGTTCCTTCCCAGCCATTCACCTCTCCGTACAGTTTCTGCAAAATAGAGAAAAGGAAAAAAAAATTGAAAATTGGTCAATCTAGTTAGCTCAGGAACCAAAACAGCAGGTCCCAATTGCATATCTAGTAACAGCAAGTAGAATTCAATCAAGAAAAAGACAGTTCAAGTCATCGCACAAAAAACCCAGAAAAGGATCAAAGGAAGAACATGAAAAATGATCTAAGCTACTAGCATTAAAGAATAAAGTATCACTTGATGACATTAATACTGGATTGTGTTTCTACCAAAATGAATATCGGAGCTGACGGATGCTGTGAATGATCAACCAATGGCAACACCGTTGGAAAAAGCTGCAAGGAGGCGTTCAGAGGAGTAATGGAAATTGATTAACTTAGCGTACGAATATTTTCTGCACAGGACATGATATTAAAGGCGACAGAAACTTTAAAACTAAGTAAAATTAGTGGAACTCCACCAAACTCTGCTGAGTCAATTTGCATATCTATTTTTAATGATTTGTTAAAAGGGCCCT